TGTAGGGTCATGGCCTACGTTCAAGAAAGATTACAGCAATTATTATAAGGCATTAAAAAAAAAAGATGTTGTATTGCCCTTTCAGACCGACCCCAAAATCTTGAAATCTATGGTCACAATTTTTTTAAAGTTTTTTTTTTCTTACTGTTTTTTAGGGAAAAAAAGCCAAAAAGCCACTCCCGCCACCCATCATCTCCAAGCGCTATAGTTCTCCTTAGAACTATAAGCTAAGAAAGATAACCAACAGTCTTTTTCAGGACTACACACCCTCAAGAAAGATTACAGAGAGTCCTTTTCAGGACTCCTCAATCCTCCCTCTCTCTCGCAAGCCTACTGTATATGAGGCAATAATGTATAAAAAAATATGTATGAAAGCATTCAAAACTGAGAAATATTAGCCCAAAGAGGGGAGAAAAAAAATAATGCATCAAAAACTGAGAAATATCAGCTCAAAAAGAGATTGTAAAAAAAGAAAAAAAGAAAAAAGATTTCCGACTGACCGACCCATGTTTTGGCACCCTAAAGGGCAATATAACATCTTTTTTTGTTACCCATAAGTGAAAGGTTAAGACTGAAGAGTGAATACTTTGCCCGGGAAATCCAAAGTTTTTATATGCTATTATAAAGCCTATATTGTAATGAAAATCTAATCTTTAAATTCATACCTAGACACAAGTAACTTTACAGATATCTTTTCAACAATCATCATGAGTTAAAATCTTTAAAAATGTATATTTACCTCGTTAAATAGGCTGCTCAAATCATTAAAAACAAAAATTAATTACGACTGGTTATGAAGACATGAAAATGTAAGAAATGCCAAGGCATAGAACATACCTGTCCGTATTTTGCCGGGATAGTATCGTTGCAGTCCAGTATTTTCCATTTGCGTTCTGTGAGGTTGAGGGTGTTTATCTTATTGTTGCTCTTTGACCCCCATGGGTAGAGAGTTCCACCAAAACAGATTAAAGTGTTTCCACTCAGTATCACTACAAGGAGTAAGGAATGATCACACAACATGAATATAATCTGTCTTCATGAGCTTGAGTTTGGCAAATGACCCACTATTTTAACTATCTGATCACAAATTAACCAGTTAATTTGCATCTTCATCAGCCAGCAGTTGCAAGTAGCAGGATATTTGGTTGAGAAAATATCCCAATAAGTTTGTGATGAGCGTATCGGTCTGGTGAAGTCGCAATTTTGAGCTTTGGGATAATATCCAGAGTCTGAAAATAGCGGGATATTTGGCAAACTCGAGCTGATGAAAACAGGCCTAATTGGTCTCAAAATGTTCTTTTCTACACTAACCTGTTGAAAAGTAACGCCAAATTCATGCAAACAACCACCAGTTATTTTAATTATTTGGGTGTGAAATAACATAAATGACTGGCTAGGAAATATATATTAAATTATAATTATAATTTTTTTTATTTAAAGGTATCTATGAAAGATGTAAATCAGGTTTGAGACAACAGGATGCAATGCTTGTGAGGCTTCAAAGCTATTTTTGACTCTGTAAATAGTAAATCTTCTGTATGATGGCAGCCCTTACTTCACAAAGCAATTAATATTTCAAACCAGAGAGGATTTAGCTTGACTGTTCACAGCCTTGCCTTCAGTATTATACAACCTACATTTATTCATTGATTACCATGATACTGCTATTATCTATGGAGACTAAAAATATAATCTACTGTAGGCTTATTACACCGCATATCATAAGTAAAACTAGTTTCTTTTGATAGTCATGATTCATTTTTATTTAAAGCGATTCTTATGGTAAAGATACAAGTATCAAAACTTGATTGCATTTTAAAGATTTATATCTTTAGACAATGATTTACTATCGACCAAAAAATATTAAAGGGGAAGTCCACCCTGAAATTAAGTTAGTTTTAATAGGAGTAGAAAAATGAGAGAAACAAGTCAGTGAAAGTTTGAGCAAATTCCGATTAAAAATAAGGAAGTTAGGATTTTTGAAGTTGTGATCAATCAAACACAAATTGGCAACTCTATGACGTATCATGCGAGCTCAACTTCCATTTGCTCAGTACTAAAAAAATCTAAAATTTTCATTTTCCCTCAAGAAAAATTTCAACCATACATGCACCCTAAATATAATAATTGCAAATATGTTTCTATACTCCCCCTGCAAGGAACAAATATATATTCCGTCATCAATAACGAAGAAAACATGATTTTATGGAATATTATGCACAAAGCAAATGAAGGAGAGCTCGTATAATAAGTCACAGAGTTGCCAATTTGTATTTGATTGATCACAACTTCAATAATTCATAACTTTCTTATTTTCATTCAGAATTTGCTCAAACTTTCACTCACCTGATTTTCTTATTATTCTGCCTCTATCGAAACAAACTTATTTTGGGGGTGGACTTTCCCTTTAAAGTGACACATACAAAAACATATTTCAACCATGCTAGAAACAAGATTTGTATTTATTACTTGACATTGATGCTGTCTCTGAAGGGGTAACTCCTGATGTTTTTACCTCATACCATGTCTTTGTAGCAAAGTTGTAACACCACAACTAAAAATTAAAATAATGATAAGTAGCATTGAGAAAATATAGGAATACAACAAAAATAAAGGATTGAAAATAAAATTTTCTTAAAGAATTTGGAGAACAAAACGATGATTGTGTAAAGAAATATTTTATTATTAATGAAGGTGCTCTAAATGGCAGATTATCATGTTTGTGGGTGTTTGTGTTCATTTTCCCCTTTTTCATTAGTTTTTCCTTTCACAGAAGGAAGTAAGGAACAAATTCCTCTAATTTCATAGTCTTAAATGTTGTTGTTAAATTAAATTTCACACATTTTGGGGTCTAAAATTACCTTCTTAGGAATTTTAGGTCCTAAAAGGGCACTAAAAATATCATACATAAGAATAAGAGCAAGAATCATGCACTGTGAAGGCATTTGCAGTCTTTAACAAGAACTCAACTGTCCCTGTAATTTCTAAAATTGTTATCTGTATGTTTGTATTTTGTATCTATTTGAAATCCAACCCCAAATTTTGGTTGCAATAAAGAAATAATAAACAATAATAAAGTTATGATTACAGTAGCATGGTAGATGTATGGATACAAATTTATACTATATGACAATATGCAAGCTTTCAAAAGATAAGCTATCATCATTGTTGTGGACAATACTATGCTTTTGGAGAGGAATAAGACTTTACATGATTCATACTTACATCTCTGAATACCTTATGCTCTGCTATTCCTTCCAGATTCCTATCATCGACAAAGACATATTCTGGATGGTACCCTCCAAATACATACAAATTAACTCCATCGGTGGCGCAACAATGTCCGCTTCGCTGGTATGGCTGGGCCTCTGCACCTGTAGACGAACAACAATAATAACCTGAAATAACCCTTTTCTCAAAACAGAATAGACACATATCAAAGAAAAAACATGTACAAGTATATTATAATGATATTAGGAAACTATGCCTGCTCTTTCATGAAAAAGTGAGATAAGCAATTTGACAGAATATGTCTGTAAAGCAATGCCTAATCGGTGACTATTGGTACCCCATGATCCTCTTTTTCTTATGTTAATTGAGAGCTGAGTTGATGAGATAACCACCTGTCCAGTGACCTTGCAGTTTGGTCTACTCTCTCCTATAAACTAGTACAGATAGCTTTAAATGGAGATATATCATTCATATACAGGTGTAGTATCAAAAACACCAAATCTTTTTGCCATCTTTCCTTATGTATATATATTATCCTGTAATCTTCCACATCTTCATTTTTATCTTCTATCATCTTCTCTTTTAAAAATATTTTCTTATAGATCTATCAATTTCTTCTCCTCTCCATTTTCTCCTTTCATGTTCTTGTTCTATATTTTGTTCGATTTATCATTGCATCATCTACTCTATCTCTTGTTTACTTTATCTCTCTCCATCTTTTTCCTTTTGTTTGCTTTGCTGACATGCATATAGACTAGTCTACTACGACTATACTTATAGAGGGATCCGGGCTAACTCGGACCAGGGGACAACTCGGCCCAGCTGCAAACGGTCATTTTTTGTCATTTTACCCTAACTCCAACCCTAACTCTAACCCTAACGCTAACCCTCACCTAAACCTAACCCTAAACCTAAAATGACAAAAAATTACCATTTTTGTACCTGGGCCGAGTTGTCCCCTGGTCCGAGTTAGCTCGACTCCTTATAGAGCAGTACATCTTCTTTCGTATCACCTTTCTCCATCCTCCTCACTTTACTCTACCGTAATGAGGATCTGAGACATTACAATAGACTCTAGATAACTTCACACAGACGCGCGCCCGCCCACGATCCGCCATCGGTATGTACTTGTATTGTGCAGCGGTTTGCCGTGAAACCTGTAAAAAAAGTGTATAGCCTACTGAATAATCAACGTTTAGACCCTATCCGAAAAATACTCCAAAAATAACAAGAAATTTGACACGCAACAGGTAACAAACATAACGACTTTTAACTCATGATCTTTATTTGGACATTTACTGAATATTTACTTCATTTTTGGTATGTTTTAGTAGGGTATCTCCACGCCGGAGTTACGGGTCAAATTTTGGATAGGTTTCTGAACAAGCGCCCAAACTTCTCTGCTGTAATTAGTGTCAACCAACAAAATAGTAAGGGGGTGGGACTACCCACACGAATAAATGATAAATAACGCCGCTGTGAATTTTTTTTTGCTGCAACTTACATTCATCAGCTGGTTTTTCTATATTGCATTTCTTCACTGAAATAGGCAGATGCGACATTTTTACAGGTTCAACATAGCTAGTCTAGTCCCGATTCCCCGTGGCGTAGTCTCCCCTGCCTTGCCCTTGCACTTTCTTGATTGAATCGCTCCTTATCAATAGTTACAGTCTAAACGAACATAATGATTGGCTAAGCCTTGCGTTCAGCTAAATTATTGACCAATTAGAGCCGGCGTAAGGTAGATTAGGTTGATCACTAAATATAATTCGCGAACTTCGAAATACATACATGTAGGAATCATGGCTGTCCCCAACTGCGAAGTAAGCAAACCTCGTCGGATTAAAGCTTTATTATCTTCATTTCTGAAGGGGGTTTCGCGTGAAGAAAAAAAACAAAGGTTGGTCAATATGTAAATGTCCATAAAGTGTAAAATGAGTTTGATTTTTCTATGTGAATCATGACAAAATTTACGGCTGATCCGATATGTTGCTGAGTGTTCGCGGATGACCTGTCAGACAGCTACTCGAGCACGGACGCTGAACCGTAGGCGTAGAGGCAAGGCTAGGCCCGCCTCGTCGCTGGCAGTGGGAAGAAAAAGGCTGAGCTGACCGGGCGGCGATATTTTTAAACCTAACCCAGCCATCCTAGCGCTGCATATCAATATTTGAATTTATGACAATTTGCGTTGGTACGGTATGGTGGAGATTGAAATTAAATTGGCCAGATTCGGAACTAAACAGGGGCGTCGCTAGAGCCTAGAGATGATCTAGACATGAGGAACAAGAAAGATATGATAGATCTAGAGGTCTATGTTGCTGTGTCGCCCGTCGGGTCAGCTCTGTTGCCGGTATTCATGCTCGATCTTCGTGTACTACTAGACTAGATTATCGATGCAGAAATTTGAACTCGGTGAGATCTATGATGAAAAGGTAAAAAAAGAGAAACAAAAGAAAGGGGGGGGGGGGGTGAAAGAAAGAGAGGAGAGAGAGAGGGTCAGACTAAGACTAGACTAAGAGTAGACTGAGAGAGGAGGAAACGAGGGATGGGAGTAAAAGAGAGAGATAGAGGTAGGGGGGCCGGGTTGTTGGGTGGAGTCATCTCATTGGAGGAGCAAGAAATATACGGATCTATACAAGCCTTAGATTAAGCAGCCAGGACCAGGAGCATGGGATGGGGCAATTTATTGTTAAAAGTTGCCCCTTGCTTTTTTTTTTTTTTTTTTTTTTTTTTTTTTTGCACATATCGCACGACAACCAAATGCCCTAAGATATTGATACCTACTTTGATAGAAAAATAAGGTTTTACAAAATGGAAAAATACTAGAAGAGAAAAGGTAAGAAAGAGTAAAGACGGATTGAGGACGGTAAACCCCAAACAAGAGACTCTGGAGATCTACCCCAGAATCCTCTCACCGGCACCAGAGTTGCCTAGGCCAATGATGGCCGAGAAGATTGCGCAATGTACCGCGCCGGTCTGGCAGGAAGGTGCCAATTGCGGTGAGGGGTTTTCATGGACCAGTAGATCTGAGATTATATTATCCAAAAAAAAAAAAGAGATGAGTATGAATTTACAAATAGTACCAAAATATAGAAGAAAAAAAGAAAGAAATAAAGTGAAAGGCGTAAATATTCTAAAAAAGAATGAAACGCCGATAATACCAAACAACAACAACAACAACAGGGATTTACCGGAGCAAGAGGCAATTTTTTAAGAACCAAGGGCAATTTTCCAAAAACAGATAATGACAACTAATTACACAAGTTAAATAAGTTCAAAGATACAATTTTAATTTCATAATGTGAATACGATCTATTTAATAACTTTTTAATCTTAAAGATAAAGACCAGTTAATTATGGTCATATGCAATTGCATTGTGAAAGAAACGTTGTGGAATCGATCAGAAAAGGTTGATCATCTAGCATATAAGTATTGGTGTGTACTGCAAGGTTCTGGAATCATCATAATGATAAGAAATTTGGCCCAGTCTTCGTAAAGTTATAAGCACTGTACATAGAAAGATGTATATGGGACTACGCACATGTGCGTTTATCTCTCACATTCCAATAGATAAAGTAATTTACCATATATATCAATTAGTAGGCGGTTTCCCGGCAAAATTGTTATCATGTATTAGTCAAAACATATTCTTTCACATGATTGGTAATAAGAGCTTCCATTTCATTTTTTGAAATTGGGGCGTTTCCAATACTGGTCTTTACCTTTAACAAGATCAATAGGAAAGATTGATTAGGAATATTAAATTTGCACATTAAACAGTATTTTAAAGTAACTAAAATTATTAATGAGCAAATGAATAAATAAATTGTCAATTTCACAAACATTGAAAGTCAGAAGGACTTGGCAAACTTATCCCAAATCGTTTAATTCTCCATTTGACGATTTGTTTTTTTGATTCTTCGATACATTTGTACGTACGTGCGTCACAGCACCATCTAGCGATTGCATGAACGTACGTACGTGCGCGCTAGCCTATAGTAACAAATCTAAGGGCGCATTTTCATGGCAACATGCACTAAATACGAAGCTAGTAGTAGAGAGCTTGTGCGCGGCAAACTGTTTGTGATTCATGCAGGGTTGGCATATTTCCCTCTTCGGAGGCTGAATAAAATCAGTGAAAAATTGAACAAAATGGGGCAAGGAATAAGGAAGTTAAAGCTTTTTAAAATGACTAGCCCTCTAGTGACTAGTCATTTCAAAAAGCTTTAACTTCCTTATTTCTTGCCCGATTTTGTTCAAATTTTCACTGATTTTATTCAAATATCTTAAACTTTAGAATAAAAGTAACTTGTATGAAGGTTTTGGTTCCCAGTTGCTAATTACCATATTCATGAATACCTATTAATTAGCATATGAACAAAATGCCATTTGTTTGGGTGTGTACAATTTTGTATGTAGTGAGGATTTTATAAATCTGTTTAGGTGTTCCTACTATGAGTATTGTGTTGCTAATTATTTCAGAACAATAATTTCAGTTATGAGGCTAAAAACAAGTAAAATTATTAATAAATAGAGAATTAAAATCATATTTCCTGTTTTTTACATATTTACCGGACGCATCTTATTTACCGGACGGTATTTACCGGTATTTACCGCCGGTAATTACCGCCACCGGTATTTACCACACAACCCTGGATTCATGTATTTTTTCTGTTCTGATAATTTATGGGCGCATTTTCACGACAAACACTTGCGCCTTGCCGTCTAGTTTTAGATGATTATGGGTGCAATTGGTGATTTTACGAGCGCAAATTTGCGCCTGCTTAATCGATGGCTTGGATCTATAGAGCTCGAGTATGAAGTGAAAATAATTATGGAATAGTATTAAAATTGGATTTGTCTAAGTGGCTGAATACCCCCTCTGTTACAGTATATAGTATTTCAAATACTCCCCTCAATTAATGAAAATATTGCAAATTTTATAAGAGAACCCTTAGTGCCTTACAGCAAATCGTTTGAACTTACCGTCTTTTTCCAGATCTATGAAAACTTCTTGCTTGTTCTACCCCTTCATGACTATGCTTGTAGTGTCTGGTGCCCTCTCACATTTTGCTTTATATTATAAACATTTCTTTTACAACTTTGACTTTCCAATCCTTAAACAAAGAAAAGAACCTCAATTCAAAGCCCAAGATGATATGGAAGGGAAGCTTATGCCATCTCTCCTAATTGAAAACTTTACATGTACATGTATGATGTGTTAACATTTAAAGGAGCAAAATGTAACTGGCATTTGAATATAGATGGCCTTACAGAATTCAGAGATCATGAATTTACACTATTATGTTGTGTACTACTGTACTATGTACTGCATTCTGTTGTGCTTTATTTTACTTTAAATTTTTATTTTATTTTAAATAGTGAGAACAAGGAAGTGATTAGTGAACCCACTGAAGGCGATGATGCAGATGGATTTGCAGATGGATTTGTGGTGGTTGATGAGATCTCAAGTGAACAAAGTAGCACTGTGCAGCCATTGAATCAAGAACTTTTCTTCAACAGAGTGGAGACATTTTCTGTATCCTTTCAACAAATGGTGTTCATTTTATAAACCTTAATAAGGCTTAACACATGTTTATGTTCTTTTACCTCCTATTTTCAAGCATCACTATTAGAATGTGCAGTGTCTTCCTGTGATGACATCATACTCTTTCACATCCTTTGAACTTGGTTATTAATTCCAGAGGTTGGGTTCCTGAACTTCCTGCTATCAATAGAATATGTAGGACTATTAATGAATTCATAATTGTTCTACTGCAATTTAATTGATTGGTAGACTCAGATAAAAAAACTACCGGGGTATTTGTTTATTATGTTGCATGGTAGAAGATTGTCTCGAAGACATTTATCCTTGACACAGCCACGTAGATCTCATCATGGTTTGCTAAACCAGACGAAGTGTCTCCTCTTCGCTGTGCTCAGTATGGCTGGGAGAACATTGATGTGGACTCCCTGAAGTGTGTCAGCTGCAAGGAAGTACTCTACGGTGGTCTGCCTCCAAAGTGGGAAACAGACTCATGTAAGTTCACATTATTTCATTATCTAAAACTATTTGTATTTAATATTGGACACAATGGTTGATCTTAAGATGTCTTACGATGTTTACAGACTCTTACTCATGAAAATAAGGTGAATGCTATTCTACAGACAATTTGACCTTTGTTTGCAAACATACATGTACCTTACCTGCCATGTTGTTCTTACATCCTATTTTGGCTTCAGTATAACCATGTTGGCAAGTACTATGGTAGGCATTAGGCATGTTTGTAAATTGTTTTAAAAAAAACATGGATGATTTATTACTTGCAAGTTATAATTGAAGGTTACTGCTGGGTTATTACCGGTAGTAGGTTTTTTTGTTTTGTGTGTTTTTGTACATGTATATTACTTCAGCTGGTGTAAGTCTATATAGTCAAATTAATCTATACCAAGATAATGTGTTTTGCCTGTTTGAAGCAAAATGTTGTAATTTATATTCTATTTTGGAAGGAATGAAGGAATAGTTATTTATTTATACATGTATTATGAATAGCCTTTGAAGAATTCATGATATGATGATACATTGTACTTTGTTTTATTCATGTCATTGTGTAGCTTACAAGTTATTAATAGACAGGCAATCTTTCTTAAAATGAACTACAGTGTAAAATGATTATACAACACTTTCAGAAAATTGTAAAATGTATTATCTCTCCTTTATCAGATGAGAAAGCCTGCAAGAAGTTAGAAGAGTCCCTGAAGGCTGGTCACAGTAAGATCTGTCCTTGGCAAAGCAACCCCTCACCAGGTAAACCTGTCATTAAAATAATGCTCTTTGAAGAAATCATTTTGTGCTTTCTGATTCAGTGAATGTGAAGTAAACTATGATAGCATAGTTTTAAAAAGGCATGATAAGATATAATCCCAAAGGTGATTTGAAGCATTGAAAGTAAGAATATATGGAAGATGACAATAGTATGGAATGCCTCCTTTAGTTATGTAAATAACAATTGTTTTATAAAAATATTGGAAATGAACATTGATCATTTGATTCATTTCCTTTAAAAAGTCAGTGAGTTTTGTGTTGCTTTTCTTAATTTCTAAATTAAATTCAATAACAAACCATGCAACTACTTTGACCATCTTGTCAAAATGTTAACCCATTGCATATGTGAACCGTTTGGTCCCTGTAGTAAGCCTATGGGAATGAGGGAATTCTGCAGTCAATATGTTACAAATACCTTTAAATTCAGTTATCTTTTTTTTCTTTTTTGAAGATATGTGTAACAATCACTATTTTGATCACGATCCTGATTAATCACGGACCACCAATTCATCACCATCCTATAAATAATTTGGTATGAGAGTATTGGTTTTTACTTTTTGTTTGAATGTTTCAGCATCATTTCTTGAAGTGAATCTAGTGAGCACCCAGAAAGCAGTGGATGACTTTCTTCACAGAGTGGCATCCATCAGATGTTTTGGAACCTCTATTCCAGCTGTTGACTTGTCATGTCTTCAACAGGTTCGTTGAATAGAGAGACAAATATTATTGACTCTTTGATTATCTTCATTTAGTAAAGCTATTTAGAAAGAAGAACTATTGCATTTTAAACTAATCCACCTTGATTATTAAAGCAAAAGCACCACCCTCCCCATCACCCCTCCCCAACCCTCTCTCTCTCTCTCTCTCCCTCTCTCTCTCTCTCTCTCATATTTTGTTGTTGTTGTTAATAGAAGTACTGTATGGAGCTTAAAAACAACCACTAAAATTGAACGATGAGAGCCTGCATATTTAATAAATCGCACATATGGGGTTTTGTTTTTATAGGATATATGTATATGTCTAATATTTATCCATCTGCAATCATTTTCTTAAATTAAAACTGATTCAATCAATGTCTTATGTGTGAAATGATTTCTTAATGTACAATCACGGATCAGAATCTTTCATGTTGAATCTCAAAGTAACAACAACTTTCCAAAGGTTACCAATGGAGAACGATGTTTATGAAGTGGAAAAACTGATTTGTCTTGACAGACCGCTTGTGTCGACTTTCTCTCTGTCTTCTTATAGCTTCCAAATCTAATTGAAGAAAAATTACTATTGATTTGGTCTTGGGCCATCTAGAAAAACTACATTTTCATCCAATTATGCAATTACCAACAATTTGTATTACCTTTATCTTACAATTTACATCAATTTAATGACTTCTTTAGCTTTCATCTTTCTTTGTCAGGTGAAAAAACGGGAGACCTTTTACCGCTCATTTTGTGATATTGAAATACTTTTTTTTTAAATTTCTAGGTTGAGGAGAATGAAGATGTGTTATCTAGGCTTGTGACAGGAGTTTTAGGGGAAGAGCCAACCTCTGACTACAAAGAAAGGATAGAGTTGGTCTGTTTCATGGCTCTGAGTGGCTGGTCTAGGAGGTTAGTAGAGCACGTGGGAATAAATGTTTACCTTTTTAAAGAAAAAATGACAACCTAATATGTTGATATAGAGGTCATAATGTTGAAAAATCTAACAAAATAATTGTTACTGTGTTTTATTTTATTTTTCATATAAAAATGGAAATGGGTAATCAAATTAGGATATAACACTCTTATACCTAATCTTTCTGAAAGCAAGTTTATTTACATTGTTGCATGTCAAAATTACAAGTTGAAGCTACCAGTTACCCATTCAAAATTTCCCTATTTTATATTGATTCCCTTTAGTTCCCCAGAAGTCTCCCAAAGCCCCACAATGTCATGTGAGTTCTGTAGGCGGAATGTTGGTCTCTGGAACTTTACACCTTTTGAACAGAATGCAAAGACAACGAATGAAGACGAATCAGAACCAACGGCAAAAAGACTAAAGGTAGGTGTTACAAAAGCTGTCATGAGTTTCTGTTTTGAAGAGGTTTTTATTAAAACTTGATCTTTCTGCAGGCACAAGGAGACGCATGCAATAGATGCAAGGATTAATAGACATTTCTGTTTTTTTGTTTTGTTTGATAAGTTGAATCATGCAGTTTCATGTCTATTGTTCTCGCTGTCAGTGAAGTTTATTTTACATCCGTGAGACTCTCATTTTGAGGATCTTGTTTTGTGAGGGACCAGTATATTTGAGCTACAATTTTTTCAAGTGAATTTTACCTAAAAAGACCAGTGGTGGGGGAGGGAGAAGGCATTGGGTTAGAATCTGCCTTATTTGTTATATTCATTTGAAAAAATTGCTACCACAAGATTTTGTTAATGTACAGCCTTGAGTCGCACACATATTTTGATGCGAAAGTTCATCAGGCTTTTGTAGCCATAAGACAAATTGTTCCATTATGTGCTGTACATACTGCAGCGGTACAGGAGTGTGTGAGTAATTGAATCGCTTTCAGCATTTATTTAGAATGTATAATGGCACTATATAAATCTCATGTATCATAAATATTAATAATCAATGAGTGATAATTCCATTATCACTTCAAGATACAGTGGAAATTCATAACTAGGTCCTTGGGACCAAGGAAATTAGCTTGTTATATCAAGAATCTTGTTATTGCATGGTTAAAAAAAAAAAAATTAATATAGAGAGCTGGGACCAGCATAATCACCTTGTTATGACAGATATCTCATCATATCAGAGCTCTTTATAATGAGGTTCCACTGTATATGGTTGATATGATATTTTACGGGCGTGTCATATTACAATTCTATGATTATTTATTGACTTCATAGTGTTTAATGCCCTCCTCCTGTGAGATGATCAAATTACCCAGCCTTTAGGTAGATATAACTCAAAATATCTTTTTATTTCATTTCTCATATCTCAGGTTGACAAGGGACTTTTCAATCCTATAGAAGAGCACAGGAGTTGGTGTCCATGGACCAAGCCAGCATCTGTCACATACACAGTCCGGTCATTACCACCACAAGATAAGAACCAAGACGATAACACACCAGTCAGACCAGCATGGCATGGGCTCCAGGTCTTGCTACACGAGAGATCAAGTCCTAACAAACAAGGGCCTCTAACCAACAAACAAGTGGTAAGTTCATTTTTTATTTCATTTCATTTTATTCCATTTGTCATATAAAAACATACATAATTATAACATTGATATTTACAGATAATTAAAGAACATACAAATAACATAACAAAAGATAAATACAAAATACAATTAAATATATGAATGAGGAAACCGGCAATAAAGAACAATAAAGTCTTATGTGGTGCTGGTCTCTTACGACATAATAAAGAATTTTACCCTTTAACATATAACACCTTACATCTAACACCTAACAACTAACACCTGAATAATCACAGTAGAGGTTTACGGTACACCATGTGTAAAGTCCTAGAAGGACTAAGGAAAGTGGATAGAAGGACTAATGGAAAGTGGATTATAAGGACCGCCGCACGCATAGCGAACACTCACTCCTGAAGACGGACAGTCAACCTGTCCGAAACGTCGAGTCTACTCTCCTGCTCCTGCTCTGCAACTCTACTCAACTCTCCAACTCAATCCAGTCTTCTACTCAAACCTCTCATCCTATCTACAACTTTCTGGTTTACAGTCCTTTTCAGGACTATACTCACTTCTGAAAGATACTCTTCCTTCCAATCTCCACTTTCTCGCCTTTCTATTTTCACTTCTATTTTCTATCCACTTTCCTTAGTCCTTCTAGGACTTTACACATGGTGTACCGTAAACCTCTACTGTGATTATTCATACCACCATGCAAACCTTCAAACATCATCTGATTCAGCTCTACGGGGAGCCTACTCAACTCATCGCTAGACAACTCCAGCGCGACCTAGTTAAATCAGCCAAGCTCACCAACCACCTAGCCTTCCTCAAACTCTGCCGCGACTCCGACACCATCCCTCCAGGCCTTCAACTCAAATCCTCCGTTGACACCCCCAAGGCTCAGCGCATACTACACCAAGCCGGTATTGACCTTACCCGAGAACGCATCGTATACACACGCCACCAACTCCACGATCTCAACACCGCTATCTCTGCATCTCAGTCTAAGATCAACCAACAACTCAATCCTGATGACCTCAGCAAAGTACAGTCCTTCAATGACCACACCGCCCAGCTCGCCTTTCAGACCACCAAACTTAAGCAGATTAGGAAGTTCGACCAACTACGTTCACGCAAGCCGATCCGCACCAACGACCCTCCCATTAAGGACACAGTAGTCAACCTCAGTCAGCACAGACTCTCCCAAGCCGAACACCAGGTTCTATCCCTAGGACTCAACTTCGCCGTAGCTCCCAAGAAGATACCGTTTTCCGACATTGTGCAACAAGTAGAACCCAAGCTTCGTTTCCTCTCCAAAGCTGCTGCCAACGACATCCGACTCAAAATTACCAACGCTCTCGCCGAAGCCAAGCCACCCAAACCCAACCTATCTAAAGTAGAACGATCCGCCATTCAAGACCTCCGCAAAAACCAATCCATCCACATCCTACAAGCAGACAAGGGAAACGCCACCGTCGTCATGGACCAAGATGCATACGAAGATAAGATCTGCGACCTACTCAAAGATAAGGAAACCTACTCCAAACTTAAGAGGGACCCAACCCTAGCCAACGAAAGGAAGATCAACCAACAACTGTTGACCCTACACAGATCCGACGCACTACCCAAGGCACTCTACTTCCAACTCAGATCTTTCGTCAGCCAAATCACCCATCCTCTTCGGACAGCCCAAGATTCACAAGCCATTCATCCCTCTCCGCCCTATCATCTCTACCCGAGGATCATCCTGCTACAACACTGCACGTCATCTCGCCAACATTCTACAACCACTCGTAGGCCAAACCCAGCACCACGTCACCAACTCCAAGCACTTCATCGACATCCTCTCCAAAACCAAGATCCAGCCATCCGACACGCTCGTCAGCTTCGATGTCACCTCTCTATTCACCAGCGTTCCTGTAGACCAAGCATGCGACAACGCCTCATCTCAGACCCAGACCTCGAATCTAGGACCAAGCTCACACCTGACCAGATCCACGACCTCCTTCTCACCTGCCTCCACTCAAACTCCTTCAAATGGCGCAACGACTTCTACAAACAACTTCAAGGAGCAGCCATGGGATCTCCACTCTCACCAATCATCGCCAACATCTTCATGGAACACCTCGAGCACCAAGCACTCAAGTCCGCCGACAAGTCTCCTTCACTCTGGCTACGCTACGTCGACGACACCTTCGTCATCTGGCCACACAGCACACCAGACCTCCACCAGTTCCTCGACCACATCAACAACCAACATCCCAGCATTAAGTTCACCATGGAGACCCAACACGACAACTCAATCCCTTTCCTAGACGTACTCATCACCAAGACACCATCAGGATTCCCCGCGCACCAAGTATACCGGAAACCAACCCACACAGACCGCTACCTCAATTTCCGATCTCACCACCATCCGTCAGTCTACCAATCAGTCTCCAACTCACTTATCAGACGAGCCCACCAACTCAGTGACAAAGCACATCTCCAGCAAGAACTCAAGCACATCACCCACGCACTCACTTCCATCAACCAGTACCCAAGAAGGAAAATCAACACCCGAACTTCCTACCACAAGACCAACAACATCACTACCGGAACCCAACCTGATACCAAGCCTACCGCCACCATCGTACTTCCCTACATCGGCAAGACATCACACCGACTACAACGCATCCTCCGCTCAGCCAACATCCTCGTCAGACACCAATCCAGCAACAAGCTTCACTCCACTCTTCACTCTCACAAGGACAAGCACCCATCCAACAAATGACCAGGCGTCTACAAGATTCCCTGCGACTGCGGCAAAGTCTACATTGGAGAAACCGGCCGCGATTTCGACACCCGACTCAAAGAACACAAGACCCACCACCGACGCAGCGACTGGGACAAGTCAGCCATCGTCAAGCACGCACAACAAGAGCTCCACCGCATTCACTGGGATAAAAAGTCACCTCATCACCAACATCCGACATTGGCACACCCGAAGGGTCCGAGAAGCCATCGAGATCCACCAACACAACACCGTACCCCAAGACCCAGGCCTTCACATCAACAGCATCTGGCACCCAATCCTTCCTCACCATTCTACTTCCGACCAATCTTCAACCAACTCCACAACCAGCACGCCAACCACCAACACGTCACCTATCCATCCATCCGTCAGCCCAAACACCACCTGCAACCACCCAACCACTCCTACTCAAACAAGCACTACACGTTCTCAACTAGCCACTTCACCCACACAAGCACCGACCACGCCCACACCTCGCTACAACCTACGCCGACGAAACCGCCGACCAACACACACAGAGCGACACCACTAATAGCTGTCCTCACCGCCGATCGATACACCCACTCATCAGCCGACACACCGCCCGCTACTCCGCCGACACCAACCACACGACGTCCGCATAACCGCCGCCCACTCGTTTCCCGCCAATTCACGCAACCGAGCGCCACCACCGACAGCTACCTGCCAACCTGCCGAGCCCGCCGGCCCAGTGCTTTCCCCCAAGTCCGCACTCACGCCATTATAAGGACCGCCGCACGCATAGCGAACACTCACTCCTGAAGACGGACAGTCAACCTGTCCGAAACGTCGAGTCTACTCTCCTGCTCCTGCTCTGCAACTATACTCAACTCTCCAACTCAATCCAGTCTTCTACTCAAACCTCTCATCCTATCTACAACTTTCTGGTTTACAGTCCTTTTCAGGACTATACTCACTTCTGAAAGAGACTCTTCCTTCCAATCTCCACTTTCTCGCCTTTCTATTTTCACTTCTATTTTCTATCCACTTTCCTTAGTCCTTCTAGGACTTTACACATGGTGTACCGTAAACCTCTACTGTGATTATTCATACCACCATGCAAACCTTCAAACATCATCTAACACCTGAATGTTCAGATACTGGACTCGACAAAGGTCCTTTGACCTATTCATGTTTGTAGAAGTGTGACTTTAAAAATTATCTTTCATATGATCTTTCAACAGGAGTGCCAGTTTTCAGGCTGTTGCCAGATATCAAGATTTGTCATGTCTGTGTTTCTTTCCAAATTAATTGAGTAAAACAATTTAGGAAAGCTATAAACCATTAATTTATGTCGTGAAAAAAATTGAAAGTTCAGCATTCTTGCCACAATATACATGTGTACAGATGATTCGAAAGCAGAGCTGAATTTGAAAGCCCCTATATTCCATTATTTTGTGACTGCCAAATGTTAGGGAGTTTTCTTTCCCCCTTTTCAACATTTAGAGGCTACACTAGTTGATTAGTTTGTGGCTGCCATTATTGTCAATGAGTAATTTTTGTATCATTTTCATTTTTTGCTTTTTCAGACACCACCCAGCCAAGCCTGGAAAGCAGTGAGGAGAATAACAAATTTCTGGCAGAGTCGAAGTGCTGCTCATAAGACTTGATTGCACTGATGTAGTTGTCTACTGACTTTTTATTTTAGTCATTTTAACCCCTTGAAGTGGATGGATTGTACATGGGCATAGTTCATAAAAAGTACTTGTGAGAATCATGCATGCTGCTTGTAAGCAAGATTTACGAAGTCACATTGGTTTTCTTAAAAGGGATGCAAGAAGTGTTTTTTTTTAATCACTTATTTTCAAAAGACTGTTTTTATATCGACTTTCAGTGAGCTTAGATTAAAGTGTGAGATACAAACTTTCGGGTCCTTGGGGGTTTTGCAATTTCAAAAGAGCATTAAGTCAAGTAGATTGATTATTAAACTGGTATGCTGATAAGAGATATTAATGTGATTTTCTGTGAAACTTGACTATTCCATCCACTTTCAGATTAAGAGAAGTGCCTTGAAACTTTCCTTTCCATATTATGAAGAGAGAAGAAATTTATCTCTGTTCATGCCTTCTATATGTTTTGAGAAGTGAAATTTATTCTATTTTGATTCATATGTATGGGCTGAAGAAATTAGAAAAGTGGGTTCTTGTATAGTGCTTATGTCTGTTAGACTTGACATTCCTACAGCTCCACAACTGCTGGTATCAACCATTATGTGGACCAGTCCCCCAATAGCTGTCAAGCCATCTATGTGAAACGATTAGAAAATGGGTTTAAAATACAATATGATCATACATCTCTCCCTAAGTAATTACATTTCATGATAGCTCCAAAGTACATGTATATATAATATTAATATTGTTTTTTGTTAGTCCTATGTATATTGCAGGTCATGATCAAGGACTGCTCTGCAATACCAAACATTTATTTATTTTTTTTAAATTGCAGCAAATCAGTACATGCTCGTTTGATTTGTGTTATACAAGGTGAATTTGATTTGAGTTCATGGTAATTAAAGTTGATTCATTTTAATATCGTGGTGTTACCCAACCTCCTCAATCAAATGGCGGTGTTCCAAATTACCATGAATATCTGGGGTTTCTAAGCATTTCACAACAAAAATATTCACAAATGTAATATTTTTGTTGAAATGTGTGTTTCAAATACAATTGTAGGATCGGTTGAATTGCTGATGTAAGTTGTTGGTCATTTTAGACAGAGCTTAAAGATACAATGATTTGAATGGGAGTTTTGATTTAATGAAGAAAAAAAAGCAAATAGGTACCAAACCTGCAATATGTAAAGGCCTCTACAGTTGACTCCTAAATCTATCTCAACAAGGCTATAAAATGTAGCATGAAAGAAGCTAATGCGAAAAAGAGTATTTAATAGGGATTATTCCATTGGCTGTAATGCTATGGGGTTATTTACAATTTATTGTTCTGTTGAGCAAAATGACAACCATTTTTGCACTATAGGTATCTTGTAAATCACGCTCCCTTAGGTGCAGCCATTGTTTGCATCGATAGTATTCGACTTGCATAGCCATAGTTAGTTATGAGCATGAATGAGAAATGAATATGGAAGGAAAAAAATAAAAGTAACTCCAAGTGAATTTTTTTTTTTCTTCAATTCAGTAATGTGTAAACTTTAATCTGACACGAATGGTGACTTTTTTAGTTATTAGAATCAAAAGAGCTTAATTGTGATTTTTTTAAATCCCTCTGCAGTGCTGTAGTTTTTCATCTGACTCTCTGTTCAGCTGTCCATTCTGTATACAGTAGTGTTGCCTTAGTAACTTGAAAACCATTGAGTGGCAATTTGAAGGTCAAAATTGGAAAGGTCATGGCATCAAAAAAGGTTTCTGGATCAAGAGAAAGTTTATTGTTTACCACATTAATTTGGGGAACCTGGAGGCTATGTTGGATCAAGTATGTGTGAGTATGACAAGATGAACTGGAAGTACATGTAGCTTTGGTTAATGAGGTTAGATATGAAAGGTCACAGGGTCAATGATCAATTGAAAATAGGCGGATGCATATTGGAGATGCTGTTCCTTGTAATCTGTAATCATTTCATTTACACCTAATGTGATAACATGCAACTGAACATGAAGTATTCTTCACATTCCCTTGTATAGATTTTTGTAAAAAGTAGAAACTAAATGAACTGAATACACTCTTCAATATGGAAGACAGTACAGAATTAATGTTCAACCAAAAACTTGTATGAGTGTGAAACTTTAGGCACTTTAGAGTTGCGAAAGTTTCTTGCATGACTTTTGCATGACTTCTTGTACGAGTTACAACTGATGCACCATTGATTTTGGACCATTCTTAGAAAAGTGTTTTTTTTTTACTAGTAATTTCATCTCTGCAAATTGACCTAGAGAAATGAGTCTTGAATGATATTGTATCATTCTTCAAATGTTCAATGATCTTTTATTTTATTTGCCCATAAAAAGAACATGTATTGGCTTTTTAGAATTCACTGTTTGTATCAGCCTTTTAACAAGGCCTTGAGTATGAATAACGAAAATGGCTGACTGATGTGAAGAAACTAACTTCAGCCACTTTACTTTCTGCACATATGAGGTCATGAATATTCATTCTGTTGGCAGATGACATGAATAATTCATATAAATGGATTCTTATAGCGAGTTTTGACTGATTGTTGCACATTTTTTTTAAACTTTAGCCTTATCCAAATGATGCACATGCTCATAGTCACGTTTTTTCTGATCGGCTAAATTGTATGCATGCATCAGGATGCCAAAGGTAAAATAATTCAATACATAACACAAGGGATTCGTATCTCGCAAGTGTGGAAAGGGCTTTGACTGATGCAGATAGTCTCCCAAATGTTAGGCCTCATTGAAGGGCCATGTGTCCCACAATCTTTTACAATGTATTATGAGATAATATCTTGGCGTATATGGGAAATGGACTGTGAAGATGGCAAATTCATTACATTTTCATCACATGGATCAACAGTTCAGGTACATATTGCCTGGAAAGTCCAAACTTCACAAAATAATGTATTTCTATAACTTCTTTGTATATAAATGGGTTCCAAAACTGTACCATAATAAAAACTAAAAGGATACTCATACTTTGATATCTATTGCTTTTTATTATTGTTTTTGCTTTGTCTTCTCCAATCTTTCAAATTGATGTGTTGCGTGATGAACAGTAATATTTGTGACTTCTCAAAGACATACTTGAGTGCATGTATTAAAGACAGAGTTCATAATGTTCATACATTTCATATTTGTTAATCGTGTAAATGATTGAATATTTAAAAAATGACCCAGTTACCCTCTAGATGAAAACATGAGTTGGGAAACAACGTGTAACTGAAAGACATTTGACTATGAGTAGAAACAATAGTCAAAATGAGAATTTGAAAAGAGAATTGGCAGGCATCATGCACTTCCCACTGCTAATAAGGGAGAGACTTATGAGGTGTTGGAAGAAAGTTGCGATTGATATTTGCAATCGATTGCAACGCAACTTTCTTGCAACACCCCACTAGTCTCCTCAATTTCCTAGGATTTTGTTAGGATTTAAGTTTTAACAATTGAATTAAGTTAACTAGATCTAGCTTTTATTCTCCCCCTCTTTCTCTCTCTCTCTCTCTCTCTCTCTCTCTTACTAATGGGGCCTTGCAAGAAGGTTGCAATTGATCGCAACCCAACCTTGCAAGAAGGTTGGGTTGCGATCAATTGCAAATTTGCAATTAATTGCAAGACTAGCTTGATTTCCGGGATTTGCAATTGATTGCAACTTTCTTGCAACGCTCCATAAGTGTTGCATGTCTCTAATGCATCACATTGGAATACGATGAATAAAGCATAGGGTAGGCTTACCACAGTAATTTATCAAGCAATTTATATATTCACCTATAATTCATATTCACAAATTCACAAAAAATATTTCAAGAATTTCTCAGTCTAGGCCTAGAAACGTTTGTTTTAACCCTATCCTATAATTTATCGTCCACCATTTACAGTTCAAAAGTGATGAGTGAGCGAACAGAAAGGCAAACGATGAATTCCCCAGTGTTAAACAAAACAAAAGCGACAGTATAAATGGTGTATATGTGTTTGTTGTGTGCAAGTAAAAACAAGTAGAAAAACTAAGAGAGGTAGCACAAATGTTGCAAGTTATTATGCATATACATCCATTTATCATTCATATATATTTCAAGAATTTCTCTGCCCAAATTATTTTGTAATACCATATCCCCCTTCCAACCCCCCCCCCCCTCCAACACACACATAATTCCCTCAAAGTACACAGTTTCCATATGCATACGATTGATGCAGATGAAACGTGTGAAACAAATATGGAGCAGGTAGAGAGGCTTCCAATGATTTAATTGAAGAAAACAATTAAGATTACCTCATGTGTGTATGATGAATCAACAATGTTGTAGATGATGATTGCATTTTTGCTGCACATGAAGACCCTTTCAATTGCAATTTGTGATAAACAGTAAATATAGCATTCTGTTGAATGACACATTTGCAAAAGGTTACACTTACATATCATGACCATAAACATATTGATACTCGAGATATGACATATGTTTCCATTTAATGATTCTTTGAAAATGAATGCCCTACAGACTCATAAGAACCACAACTGAAGACAGATTTACTCTATAAATATAGTGAATACCTTAGAAAGTTATCGGGCATTTAGGTTTTTATCTTGCATAACATAAAATATATATAACAAATTCCAAGGAAAATAAATATTTATTTCTTTATATTTTTTTAATTACAACTTTTAACAATTTGTATTTCCAGTAAAGACAAAAATACGAACAAATAAATAACAGTGGTCCCACAATCATTACAGCATTAGCATGAAACTTGCGTGATACATGAATGAATTAATGTGATGAAAATTATTACATAATATCGAATTAAATGAATGGTGCATCTACTATGAGTAGAAATAAAATGGCTTATATTGCACCTGCCTCATGTATTTATTAGGAGGGGAAGCTAATTGCTTAATGTAAATAACTAACAAAATATTGCTTCCTCTTGCTGAAAGATATTAATAAATCAAATTGAAGCAAATATTTTGCTTGTCTTTTTGTTGATGCCTCTTCCCTTGGCAATACACTTTGATAATTAATAAAGGCCAGTAAAAACTGTGTATGCATATGTACCTAAGCTAACTGCATTATAAAACTTTCAAAGTTGTGCTGCATGATGAGAGAAGGCATGTTCTTATTATTGGAAGGCCAAGATAATTGTTTTATCAAAACCTCGATACCTGTGAGAAGACAAAAGGTATGATCAGATTACAAGTCGATAAAGCTTATCAAAAATAATAATCAAAGGATGTCCGTAACAGCTGATCCTTGTTGATAGGTTGTTTACCTAATTTGCATATTATGCAATATCCTCAACCCTGCGTTCGTGACCTTTTCACCTGGTCATGAAGCTCATGTGCTTACATCATTTCTAGAAAAGGATATGATATCAGAGGGATAACAAACAAGCGAAGTCGATATTCGAAAGAAAGTGATAAGAATTATTTTTCCTTGATGAATATACTTAAAACTTATATATGTGTGGCTTTTTATTTATTTATATTTTTAAAGACAACTATTTAAAGTATAAACAACATATTTGAGCTACATGATCTGCTGATCAATTAATTACTGGACTTGTTCACCCCTATTCTAAATGGAAGGGACCACTTCTGTCATTGTTTTGGTTCGTTCGGCAAAGTTCGGGTTTCTGCGAGTTGCTGTGGGCGGCCAGTTGTGGAAATCAGCTGTGTTTTCATTAAAAATAACAACCCAGAATTGGCCTTTTCCAAGATGTCTTCGCCACCACCTAATAAGAAAAGAATAGATGCAGACATAATTAAGTTGTATCCTTTTGAATATAAGTAATTATATTATTTTTCGTCCATTTTTTAGAAGATGTTATGTGACTATCGTTACTACTCGCACCAGCAACGTAGGCAGTGCAGTGCAGAGAGGTCTTCTCATTTGGATTCTGTTGAGTTGAATGTGTGTACACGTATTGTGTTGTGAACACCAAATAAAGCCTTCTTTAGGCCATCGACCAGAAAAGAACTTGTACATTGCATGTTGCGAGTGTGGTGAAGAATTCGGTGATTAGTAGTCACAGCTGTATTCTTTGCATGTGCATGTAGAATGATAAATCAAACTGATATTTATTAAATATTTCATGTTATTATTATTAGATCTAGATCTAGATCTAGACCTAAATGCCAAACTAGTTTTTACCACTTAATATTAAAATTAGAAGAGGAATGTGAAATACAATATAAAATATATATTCAGTAGGGGCGTAGCCCTAAGAGCTTGGTGATAATGTTTTTATGATATTGATATCACCAAGCCTTAACTGGCTCTCATAGACGTGCGCGGAGAGGCAGGTAAACAAACCCTATAATTTAATGCGTCCGAAATTGCCCTTTCCCGCACCCAACGAATATTAGACAGTGGCCTTAACGTTAGACAGAAATAACCATCTGATTTGGGTCATTTCTTTAATAAAACTGACATTTGTTGTCATTCCCCAATACAGATGGTAACCCAGAGATCTCGTACCGTGGGGGTGGCTATGAACATCTTTTCGTTCACGACATTTTCTTCCCGATTTTCTTTATTTAGATCTAATTTTCTGATTTCTAAATCAGATGTAAATTAGGTCGGTCTATATATCTCCTAATTACAGTTTTCAAAATTTGCTAACCTATCATTCATAGAATGTGAAATTTTCGGACTTACTTATATGAATTATCCAATTTGTATCTTTGAACTGTGAAACAGTACGTTCATGCGCGTTCATGCACTCGAACATAGAGCTATATGACCCGGCGGCCGATATATATTTCTGGGTCAATTCCTACCAAAACATAGCCAATGGCCAATCAGAGCACTCGTTTCGTGGGAGTTCGTTGGTCAAGCCGGGCTGACTCGTACGCAGCTACGGTAGTTATTGGACATTCGAAAAGAAAAAATGAATATTCATCAACTAAAACCAGGACGGATAATGTTGACGACGAGACTTTCTCGGATTAATCATTAATTTAGGATCTAAATGAGCAAGCTATCATAAGTCAAATAAGCTATATATATGTTATTTTTAATTTTTATTATGATTGCAGCAGTTATGAGGATGTAAAGAGTGAAAATCTCGTTGCATATCTCATTCATCGCGGTCCGGCCGAACCGAACCATTTGTTCTGTACAGTCCCGTACTTCAGTCTCTATAATCGGAGGTCTAGTGGAGCCAGACGTAGTCTCAGTGGAACAACCGACGATTAGAGAGACTGAAGCTTTCGGTCTACCTTAACGTTTGCTATGCCGCTCCTACTCCTAATGACCTACGGCAATTAAAAATCAGAGATGAAAATAACGGAATATTAGCAAATATCTTACCAGAGCAAAATATAGCTTGGCTTAGTTACTTTCTACAAGAGCGTGTGACTTTACGATCTGTGATACAATGGTGTTAACCTCTGACATGTGTTGACGGCACTTCCGTAAAGTGTGCTGCTTCTGTAAAATGTGCTGTATCATAGGAATTGCATTCATATTTTTTCTTCGGCCCTCTGCAGGTTTCGGGTTCCCAATCCGCGCGCTGGCAATGTGAAAAACAGATCCCGCATAATAAAATACCCCCAGCTCACCGTAATGTAACATCATGTAAAATGCATCAAGAAAATCATTGCAAAACCCGTTTTTTGCATTGCCAACTCGCGAATCAGAAATCAGAATCGTCAGCGAAAATGCGGAAGATCCTTATTTTTGCGGACACTTCTGTCCATGTTTACGAAGACGATCTTCATTTGTGCCGACGATCCTTATTCTCGGACCAGTGTACATCATCATTTATTAAAGTCAGCACTTTCTTTCTTACGACGGGCTACTGACCATGACTTTCCCTCATCTACTCTGTGGTTTACAATGTATGGTATTGCATGATTATTATTCCAAAATAATTGTTTTATGCAACTAAATTTCTCCCACTGCACCTCTAGAGATGTTTTCCTGCACCCCAGGTGCCCTGGCATCCTGGTAATAAAACGCTGGTCTAGACTATGAATCAA